ACCAGGCGATGTGTGTAATCTCAGAATGATGGCTGTCAGAAACCAAACTCTCACACACCTTCCTTTTCACAATACCCACTACGTCGTCTACGCCTGTGTGTGAGATCCAGCAGCGTGAGTCGATGTGTGAGGATGTGCGAGAGGTGGAGTCAGACACAACATCGTACGCCTTCATTGGCTATAGAATTGCGGCGTGTGCTGCAGCGTAGTGTGCAGACGTCCAATCAGACCGTCCTCAAACACTGGTTTTATGAATGAGACGGTGTGTATGCGAGGAACACACACTCGGAGTGAAAATACTCCACAGTGATGTCACACAATTACACAGAGCAGCAGCGCTTGAAGCAGCAGCACCACGATCTCGCTCTGCGGCTCCGACAGAACTCGGCTTAAATGTCAATAACTTCGACATTCTGTTGCTTTCTTTTTATTTAGTTTTTAAACTAAATTTATGCTAATTTACCTCAAGAAAATAATCATTTTAGATCAATTTAAAACAAGTTTTTGTCATAAATGTTACGGTAAGCGTTAGAACTCCCCAGGTTTTCTGATACTTGCAGATCAATGGTTTTATGTCAGCCGTCCACACCCTCTCGGAAACCCAAACCCTCTAACCGTCGGTGTCCAAATCAGGAACTGAGAACACCTCATTTGGCTGACATTGTTTACCAGGGAGTCATTTTGCCTAACCGGTATGTAAAATCCTAACTGAAGAGCTGTGTGTGTGTGTGTGTGTGTGTGTGTGTGTACTGCTGGCTGTGCAGAGGAGATGGGGAGGGGAGAAGTCCGGCCAAAAACAATCAAAATATCCTGGTGTGACTTTCTATGAAGGGTGTGTGTGTGTGTGTGTTACTATGAGGTCACTGCTTGGCACATTGCTTTGCTACTGGGACGTGTTGGTGCAGAGTCACGGGTAAATACTGCCCCCCGTAGCTGAGGGCAGGAACAGCAGCAGGTGGATGATGGTGGTGTTGACACAATAAAGGTTTGATGAAAATCATCATGAATCTGGTTTTCTCTGAATAAAAATTCAGCACAGAAAAGAAGACGACACATTTATATAAATATAGAGAAAAAAAGAAGCTGTATGATTGTTTCAGATGAATTTCACTTTGGTAAAGAATAGATCAAAATAAAATTACAATGAAAAATGCAAGAATTTCATCATTTAAACTAAAACAGCAAATAGAAAACAACACATATAATTCTTTAATAATAACATTCTCGCTCTGAGTCGGCTTATTAAACCTGGTGATGTAACGGTTCATCGCGGAAGACCGTGTTCCCTTTAAGGACGGAAAGTTAAGAATGTAAAACTATGAATAAGAATGGAGATTTATCATTTCTTTCCAGAAGGATGACCTCATCGAGATTTTGCAGAGATGTCTTCTTTGAATCAAAGTTCTTCTATGGGTGAAGGCTGCCCCCTAAAGGCCGAGAGCAGAACTGCTACTACGCTTCACAACAAGTGATGTCATAGTTTTGGAAAGAAAGAGTTAGAGAAGGGTTTGAAAGAGCAACGACGAGGGAGGGTAAGAACGTGAAGGAGAGAGAACAGAGGTGACATCATGCTGGTGCGGTGTGGAAGCTGGTTCTCTCTTCACGCCTTTTCAGAAACCAGACTGGATTGGAAGTAAAATACTGCCTTAGCTCGTGCTTTTGGCTTGTTGTGATTGTTTGAATGATTTAGATTTTCTCACAGGATCAGTAATGATTACAAAGATGTTTCTATGTAACAATGACTTGTTATAGAGTTATGCAGACTCAGGTTCTGCCTCAGCGCTGTGCCTCACTCCTTACCTCCTCTTCTCTCCACCTTTAAGGTTACAATAATGCACCTTTTCTCTCTTCTGACTACACAATAAATTATGATTCATTCCTTTATTCATTCCACTTTGAGTTGCAACTAAAGCCTGAGAAGATCCTTTAACCATCACTGAAAAGTTTAATTTAACTGCAGATTCATAAAAACACAAAAGACTTCGAGCTAAATGCATTTTGCTTCGAACAAAAGTGACATCATCAGACTGAAGCAAATCTTCTCTGTGTGATAAACTGTAGTGTAAAACACGATCAAATTCATCTTTTTGGTAGATTCCCGGGGTTTTGCCGACTGAATGAGGTCCTCCTACAGATCGGATCCTTTTCAAAGGGTGAATAAAACCTTAAAGTTATTTATTTGCTTCATTTTCTGAACCACTTTCTCTGACTAGGATCGTGGGGAGCTGGGGTCCAACTCCTGCAGTCACTGGGCGAGAGACGGGAGAGACGGGAGACATGCGGGACACGTCTCTGGTCCATCACAGGGACACACAAAGACAAACCACCAGCCATGTCTTGCCAAAGCAACTAAGGAAAACCCAAGCATGCATGATGAGAGCATAGCTCGGTGTAAAAAGGCCACAGGGATTTGAACCCTCAACTTCCTCGCTGTGAGGCAACGATGCTACCAACGGCACCACCATGCAGCCCAATCCCAGACACCGCTAACAGCAAACATACATAATAATCCAGACCTATCACAAACGGGGTCCATGACTGATATTCATATTTGGATTTATTCATAAAAACAACGTAAATATTGACACGCTTTTAAAAATACTGTTTTTATGGAATGTGGGTACTGAACACACACACCAGAAGTACCAGTAATACTTTTAGATGTATTTATGTTTTTCTACACAATTGTCCATGAATGTTAATGTCCCATTAGAAAAGATCCACACTGTTAATGCAAAAGTTTTTTTTTCTTATTTTTAAAACTGAATTATAAAAACTAAACTGTGGTCATTCTAAAGTGAAAACAAACATCGTAGAGTGGATATTTTAAGGAAGAGTGGGAAAAATTCTGATTTTAACCTCAGAATTCTGAGATTAAACTCACGATTTTTAGTATTTTCAGAGATTAAACTCTTTTTGTCATCGGCCCGAATCGTAGATGTTTCTCAGAAATTATAAATCGTTTTTCACAAGGTCCTGTAACGGCGGCAGCTCTAAACCAGTTTTATTTAGGTGGACTGTAAATGCTGCAGACCCCAGCTCGAGCTGTTGCATTTTCCTCGTGTCCCTTCGTTCATCAGGATTATCCCCCCCCCCCCCCCCCCCCCACACACACACACACACACACACACACACACACACACACACACACACACAAACGCATCCACGGAGACCATTTCAGATGAGGCTTTGGAAAAAATGTTTACCTTCAAAATCAGAAAGCTCTTTAAAAAAAATAAAAAAATAAAAAACAACACTTGTAACTTCACTTAAACCATTTTTACTTTAGTCTCAAATGATTTATCTAAATGATTATTTTGTGAAACTTTGAAAACACCATGTGTTACTGAGTAAAACAGTTAAAATCCAGCTGTTTGCACACTATAAAATTACATTATTTCACAACACAAACAGAAGGAAATGTCGTTTTCTGGCGTGCAAACTGGGGATAATTCTGAGCTCAAATCAAATAAAGCTGCTTCATATATTCATAATAATTGTGTTTTGATGCACAAACCTACTTCAAACAAACCACTGAGGAAAAGAAACAAATTTAAAGATTAAAAAACTTAATGTTTTTACTTTTTTTCCCTTTAATATAAGGAAGAGAGAGACATTTAACCTCCTCCCATGTTTATCTGCTCCAGGTTTGATTCTGTTCTACATTTTAACTATAAACAATTACAAGTGCAATAAAAACACTGATTTCGTATTTTTCTAACCACGAGTAGAGTGACTTCATGCTGCATTAAATATCAGCCTCAGGAGCTGCTTGAATTAAACAAACTAATAAACAGAGGGGCAGGTGAGTAGAGGCGGAAAGTGGACCTTAAAAAGTACAGAACAAAGAGAGGTGACAGGGATCCAGAGATCAGGAGAAACCGCTGGCTCGTGCGGAGGAGAACATTGTGTTAACTAACTGTGCGTGCACGAAAGAGAGAGAGAATTAGCATTTTTGAAATGTGTGATTAATGTCCCTGCGTGGCTGTGGAGACCCCATGTAGAGGGAAACGCCTAAGGGATTAACTCCGACTCCACCTTTTGTCTCGGTCTGACTACAGAAACACACACACACACACACACACACACACACACACACACACACACACACACACACACACACACACACACCTGAATGCAAGGAAACACACAAAAGCACCACTCTCACGACTAACCACACACAGAAAAACACCTGGATTGATTAAAGATGTCTGGCCTTCATACTAAACTGTAAAAGAAATAATTTTTCCACAATCTGCATCCCATCACCTGTAAAGTTTATCCTCTTTTTCATCCCTCTGTCATCACATTTGTTTATTAACAGCAATTATTTTATTTAAGAGACAAAGGCTAAAACTAATCCTGTCTGTTTAAAAATCAGAAATTAAATAATAAAATGAATAAAAAAACTCCATTTTTTTAATCAAAAACACCTCCTTCTGGTTGTTTGGTTTTGTTTGTATTGTCCCAATAGAATAAGTGGGGACACAACTTATTTACAGCACAACACTGCCCCCTTGTGTTCAATAACATCATTAACAAGAATTCTTCAATCATCCACCCATTGCCTGTACCCACTTATCCATGCAGGGTCGCGGGGGCTGGTGCCCATCTCCAGCAGTCTCTGGGCAAGCATGCAGGGTACACCCTGGACAAGTTGCCAGGCAACACTGAGACACACAGGACAAACAACCATGGGCACACTCACACCTAAAGACAATTTAGGAAAGAACCAGTCAGGTTTTTGGACCGTGGAAAGAAGCCGGTGTGCCCGGAGAGAACCCGCGCCTGCACAAGGAGAACATGCCAGCTCCTTGCAGAAAGACCCCAGGCAACAGCGCTAGCCACTGCGCCATGGGGCAGCCCCCTTCAAACAATCAGCAAAATTTAATTAAAAAGTTACATTCTTTCCACAGTTTAATTTAAATTATGTAATTCAGTTGTTTACCGATTATTAAATCATGAAACTAAAAGGCTCCTGATTCGAATCTCTCTCTCACCTGTCATCTTGTAGCCGCTGGCAGCGAGCTGTCCAGCCATGTACTCTCCGTCTGAGCTGTTATGACTGCACCCCCATGTTTTCATCCACACCTTTTGGGTACCTGGGATCAAACTGCACAGAAAAGGCAAATAAACAAGCGTACTGAGACTTACTGTAATAAACACAACTCTACAGTCATTGACGATTCTTTGGAAATAGGCATTTTGTTAAAGGCGGCATTTTTGGTTGATAAAGCACCAACTCTACATGTTTCAGAGAAGAGGCCTGCTCAGGGTGGGCCTTCACATTGATTCTATTACATACATCCATAAAAAGACAAACTACCTTTCAGCTTGGAGCTCCTCGTTGCTCGGAAGCTCTTTCCTCTTCCTGGACCTCGGCATAATATTCTTTCTAGCAGATTGTCTTTCATGAGGAGTGGGGTCACCAGAAGACACCATGTCCTCGATGTCCTCAATCAGAGAATCAGAGGCAGATGGCATGATGATCTGAAAATCACATTTCAATCAAACACCACTTTTCTTGCGACTTACGTGAATTTGTGACCCCCCGAGCCAAAAACGGGACAACATTTTTTTTACTTTGGAATCATTCACGTATGTTTTAACAGTGCCTTTTATTGGTCTGCTGTGGCCAACGTCAGAGCCGACAGACTTTAATACAACACAAATCACACCACCTCAGTGGCCTAGGGGCAGAGTGTCCACCCTGAGACTGGGAGATTGGGGTTCGAATCCGGGTCGGATCATACCAAAGTCTTTAAAAGTGGGACCCTGCTTGACAGGGGTTGGACTGGTGGGGAGGGTTAAACCTCCAAATAGAAGTGCAGCTGCAGCTCACCACTATTCTTTCCCCCCCAGAGATGGGTCAAATGCAGAGATAAATGTCCCCAGTGTGTGATGATGACTATGGGACTTAAATGTGTACTGTTAAAATTCTCGTAGTGGTTTATGTAGCTTGCAAGTTTCCTCTTTCTAATGCGTGTTTTAAATGTGCCGAATGTGGCTGGTCCAGGCTTAAACGGTCAGTATGGAAAGGATCTTGCGTTTTAATCTGTGGTGTCGGTGGGAAACTGACCACTGTGGGGTATATGTTTAGTCTTCACAGCACTTTGAGCTGTACTCGCTGTATGAAGTGCTTCATAAATAAAGTTAGATTTTTTTAAACTAGATTATAAAAATTTGTGTGATATATTTTGTAGTCTTCACAAGCCTGGGATGTGTCTGTTTAACATAAAGTACCCATTACTACAAAACACCAAGGGTATTTAGCAGGCAAATGTCTTATTCCTTATAAGTTTTCAAATTTAAGATTAATCTTTTGTCTTTATACTTATTTATGGTGGAGAGATGAGGATTTGGCTTCACAGATGTTGTGATCAGAGCAGTTCCCCTTTTTTATGGGAAGAGGACTCATGACGATTGAGTTTTTAACTATAAACAAATAAAAACCCAAACTGGAAAAATAAAAAGTCCACTCTTTGCTTTATCCATGATAGCCGATCATCTAGGTTAAGACTTAAATGTAGATAAAAACTTTGATGCACACCTTGTTTACCTGAGATTCAATTAGACTTTTTGTCCCTCCCACAAGTCCTTTCAGAAACCAGCAGCAGGCTCCCAGTTTACTTTAGCTGAGCTATTGTTGCAGCTGGAGATCGCCAAGTCCTAATGCCAGTGACCATTTCCTCTAGGTTTATACTTTATGGGAAAAAACTTATTTGACATTTACTTGTAAATGCTTCCAGACATTGAATTTACGATGCAGCCGAGTTAAAACTTATCTGCAAGTATTTCTACATGCACACACAAATCTATATGTTTACATACTGACAGTAAACGGTACCACGTGGACATAAACATCCCATAGATACACATCAAATAAGCAGTTCTTCTCTTTCAAGCAGCAGCGTTATCTTTCCGTTATCTATGCAAGTTTAACACACGTACACTCAGTGGCATCATTAGCAATCAGTAGCATCGACAAACCGATAAAATACGGTTTAGTGATTTCTTACAGTTATCCAAGTCTAGCCACATTAAGCTGAATATAAACAAGCTAAATGCTAATAGCTAGCTACTACCCACGTGCCCCTAACTTTATACAAACGCGCGCTTTAAATGTTAACAAACGTTTGTTACCTGAGATGCTATGTCGTTAATAAGTTCGATGAATCCAAGTCCTGCGAAATAACTTATTTGAAACTCAAAACTTTGGTAGTTCACACAACAAAAACATGTCAGGATTGGGAAAGAGCCGTAGTTCCTTCTCTACGGAACGGGACGAGGGACAAACAGCCCAAACGCAAATTTAGCAACAAAAAAAAGTCGCACAGAACTGCAAAGAAACTCAATAAATAATTCAATAGCTTTACTTTTAAATGTTTGACTTTCACTAAACTGCAACTGGAAAAAAACAATTAAAAACTATAAATTTCCTTTTTTAAATTTCCTTTATTTTTTTTTATTGCAAATCTCCACAATACAAAAAATCTGGACTCCTCTTTACCCCCACCCACGACACACAACTCAAATTCATCAATTTAATGTAGAAACGATCTGTAACTCACATCAAACACATCCAATTAGTTCAGATAACATTCAACACCCATGCATTCACACTGCAAAATATCCGTTTCTCTGTTCATGAAACCAGGCAGCAATGTTGTTTTTGTCGAGCTTTTTCCCATCAGTTACCACAATTTCTGCAGCACATTTAAGAGTATTGTATTTGGTAACAGTTTGGATTATGCTCATATTAAGCCTAATATGTTTATTTTTTATAGATAAGATCTAATCACACATTAGTCATACAAAAGAAAAAAAACAAGTCACCCAAAATACAAAAACACCCCTTCAGTGGTTCATTTAAAATCTTTACTTTCGTTGGAAATCTGGAAAAGTAGAATTTTTCCAAGTGTTTCCACCTCATAAAAAATAGTTAGGTGCTTGAAATATATTATAGAATTAGATCGTCTGCATGAGCTGTTGGTGATCTGAGAACCAAACTGGGAAAAAATTATATCAAATACACAAAAAAAGATTTTTTTCCCCCTAAAAGGGACATCATGATGCATTCAAGGCAATTGTATTTATTTCGGACTGTGGCACACTAACAATTTTCACTTCCATGGATTATGGTGGCGCGACGACGGCAGACGTATTGGTAGTTTTTCAAACTGCAACAGTCTCCCTGATATTATTGAAAAACTGAAGCCGTGTCTTAAAACCAAAGCTCTCCACACGCTTGGGTCAAGGACATCCTAATCATCCATAGTGATACAGTAGCGTGTATAAACACACTCACAGTCTCCTAAAGACTAGTAAATACAGATGAAATACTGCGTGTGTGTGGGTCGTTCCACTGTCGGGGTTTTGCGTCGAGACGAGTAACAAGATAAATAACTTACTGAAAAGTTGACAAAAATATATTTATATATTGTGATACATATGTCCAATTCAGTATCAGATGTGCAGCCTATAAATTAAATTCAACATAATCTAAAACTTGCTATGAGCAAACGTTCAACCTTTCTGTTTGGATTGTAAAATCCAGCATCACTTCTAAATCATCTCTATGACAGAAGGGAATTTTAAGACACACACCATGGTGTAGCCTCTTTGCTACAACTACAGTTCAACATTTAGTGAGAGGTAGCCTACAGTACCTTTGTACATTGAAAACATAGCAAACTGTACATTCATTTACACAGCGAGCTGGATGGGACTCATTCATGCTGTACACACTCGAGAAAACGTCAGTGGAGAAAAAGTCGACGCTGTGATCGCTAAAAGCTGAGCTTCCATTTCAGACCTTTTTATTGGAATTCTTAAGAACTTACGGACTCAAAACACACACAGGATTGGCTGCATGAAGTCTGAATAACATGTTTTTTTTTTTGTTATTTGGTATTTTTGAAATTTGTGTTGATTTTTTTTTATTTGTAGTTTTATAAAAGTGATGACTGGGAATTTGGATGTGATGAAAAATGGTGTAAAGGGGTGATTCCTGTAAAACCTCTTCTTACTGACTGGTTATGGCTTTTCATTTCATTATTATCTTCATGTTTATTTAGACCATTGCACAGTTAAAATCTGCAGTGTCCCACTTGGTCTCTATTGGACACTGCCCTGTTGAACACTCTCAACAAACATTCACCTAAAGCTTGTTCACCTGCCGTCCCAAATGCCGTCCACCTACAACGACCCTTTTCTTTTCATGGTCTTACACTTTTAAATTGTTCTTCGTTTGCACACAAAGTGGGCAACCGCATCACGGGTGTAAACAAACATAACCAAACATTAAAACCTCATCAGATGTCCTCCCCACAACACTTGGCACTTAAGCATTAAGTGCATCCTAGATAACTCGTTGCATCTGGTTACTAGACACATCACCGAGAACTTTGATCCGCTGAAATCGACCTTCCTTTTGTGGTTCGTCGATTGGATTTAAGCAGCTTAACTAGACCCAGCCTACCAGGTGATACCAGGGGTGATAATGCCAGGTGAAGTGGGACCTTGCACTTCTTCACACCAGCTGTTAAAAAATAAACTATCCACTGACAAACAAAAGATGACTTCCCACCGAGGTCCATTAATCATCCAAACCACGACAAACATGGAGTCAGACCCTCTGTGAGAAAGAACAGCCCTCAGTGTTTCGCCCTCATCAGTTTTCTTTTTTTGTGTTTGTTTTTTGTAGCTAGTGCTAGCTGCACAACAGATCGTCTAGACCCAGCGAGGGAATTTTATCAAAGTCACAGGCGTCAAACAGGTCACTAATTCCCTGGTCGTCTCCCAAACCTAAAAGGTAGTCGTCATCCAGAATGGGAGGTACGAGGTTTAGGAAAGGCCCCTGGGACGACTGCATCTGGTCTTCTGTCTGCTGGAGCAGACTGGTGTAAGTAGATGAGATCGGGGACAGAGTGGTGACAGAGACGGCCGTGGTGATGGCGGGTGGAGACAGGAAGGAGCTGAGAGGTGAGGATGTGCAGCTGGAATCTGTGAATGAAGGAAAACAAACCCATAGATGAAAACACGAGGCTCGTTTTCAGAGAACCTTCTGGAAAATCTAGACTTCAGCATTTTGTTAATAATTCTAAAGAGTAGGGATACTAAAGAGTAGGGACACTAAAGAGTAGGGATACTTAAGAGTAGGGATACTTAAGAGTAGGGATACTTAAGAGTAGGGACACTAAAGAGTAGGGACACTTAAGAGTAGGGATACTTAAGAGTAGGGATACTTAAGAGTAGGGATACTTAAGAGTAGGGATACTAAAGAGTAGGGATACTTAAGAGTAGGGATACTTAAGAGTAGGCATACTTAAGAGTAGGGATACTAAAGAGTAGGGATTCTAAAGAGTAGGGATACTAAAGAGTAGGGACACTTAAGAGTAGGGATACTTAAGAGTAGGGATACTTAAGAGTAGGGATACTTAAGAGTAGGGATACTAAAGAGAAGGGATTCTAAAGAGAAGGGATTCTAAAGAGTAGGGATTCTAAAGAGTAGGGATACTAAAGAGTAGGGATACTAAAGAGTAGGGATACTAAAGAGTAGGGATACTAAAGAGTAGGGATACTAAAGAGTAGGGATACTAAAGAGTAGGGATACTAAAGAGTAGGGATAGTTAAGAGTAGGGATACTAAAGAGTAGGGATACTAAAGAGTAGGGATACTAAAGAGTAGGGATACTAAAGAGTAGGGATACTAAAGAGTAGGGATTCTAAAGAGTAGGGATTCTAAAGAGTAGGGATTCTAAAGAGTAGGGATACTAAAGATTAGGGATACTAAAGAGTAGGGATACTAAAGAGTAGGGATACTAAAGAGTAGGGATACTAAAGAGTAGGGATACTAAAGAGTAGGGATACTAAAGAGTAGGGATAGTTAAGAGTAGGGATAGTTAAGAGTAGGGATACTAAAGAGTAGGGATACTTAAGAGTAGGGATACTTAAGAGTAGGGATACTTAAGAGTAGGGATACTAAAGAGTAGGGACACTAAAGAGTAGGGACACTAAAGAGTAGGGACACTAAAGAGTAGGGACTCTAAATACAGGGGTGGACCGTTAAAGCGCCCGAGCGACAGTGGCGCTAAATTTTCTCGCCGGGCGGTAAATACTTGACGAGTTACCGCCCGGGTGGCGCCCAAGCCTTGTTTGTCATTTACACACCGGCTTTCACCTACATCATGGCCCCGCCCTGTAGGAAGCAGCAGTTTTCGTTTCGCGCGCATAAACCTGCGCGCCTCTAGCCACGTACTGCACTTGTACGATTCGTGCACGTACTGCACGATTCTAGTTATAGTCACGTGAACTATAAGTTCACTATTAAAGGCAAAGTGGAACCACGCTAGAAACACACAAGCATGCAGGAAGATAGCGCCACCACAGGGATGGGATTTCTTGATGAAATCTCCGGCAAAACGCTTTAAAACTGGTGAGGAGAAGCGAGACAGTCCGAAACGGTATGAAGCAGAGAAGCGTGTGCATAGTGTAACGTGAGGAAATATGGGTTTTCTGTCACAATGGTGGTGTTGGACGCAGCTGGGTCATAGCTGGGTCGCTGAGAACTTTCACCCACAGATTAAGACCTGAACGCCAGCGAGTCTGGGAGGAAACCATAACATCTGCCACCTGCAGTCTACCAGAAGATGTGTTTACATGAGTTGTACCCAGACCAAGTCAAAACATAAAGTTTAAACTTCTTTTTCTTGATTTTAATGTTAAAATAACCATTATCATTTTGCTCATTATAAATGTGTTTAATCAAATGAATGACTAGTATGCTTTGGGGTAATTATAATGGTTTAATGAATCCACACTTAAGTAGATAATGTTGAATGTGTGGTACTGACCTTCACACTCAAGCACACAAACATTCACACACACCCACACACATCTGCCCACAGTAAACTTCAGACACATTTGATGACGCACATGTTTTGCTTTGAGAAGAGAGGTTTTTGGTAAGTTTTCAGTTTTATGATTCAGTTCGTGTTGGACAAGGGGAGAGAACAGACCTGAAAACCGAAAGGGAGGGCAGAGCCTGTTGGCTCGTTCTTCCCCCCTTTCACGCTGTTTCTGCCAAGCCAGGCAGAATAGCTGAATCGCGACTTCTAACGAAGACTCATTACCAAGTCTTTTGATTTCTGAGTGAATTAACTTAAGAAAGCGCATCGATAAAACGCTCTACCATCCATGTGTACCGAGGGCAACTCTGGACCGGTTCCGTTCAACACCTACGTCTCCTGTCAGCCGCCGGTGTCATCTGGATGAACCACAACATCCTCCACGGCCCGGATCCGAAAGAGGGTCCACAAGAGTTCGGTGAGACAGAGCACGGTTTTAGCGTTTGATGCAGTTCTCTGATAAGACCTAAGTTTATCCAAACCATCACTTCACTCAGACACCTGTTTCTTCCTGAAGCAAAATCAGACTCACACACGCATTCATGTCACAACATTCTCAATCTTCATAAATTCACCAGAAGGTCTATTTGAGCAAGAACAGCATATAAACTGTTAAAAGATTGTCCCACAAAGTTGCCAATGTGATTGTTATTTCCTGTTTGTCAATTTTCAAAATCATTAGTTTAATTTGAAGAATTAAAACTTTTAATCCTTCAAACTTGTTTCCTCATTGAACTGAAACACAGACACTCAGATATTATCGGCAGTTTATGGATGAAAACAACCTTTGAGTCTTCTGAACAATATAAAATTTGGTTATTGATTTATTAAAATTAATATTCCGAATTAATACGTAGCATGGTTTCTCTTTCATAAAAGAGCATAAATCCATAACGCTACAATAGGTAGAATGATTCTTGGCGGTTTAAAGAAGATGGGAGGCACAGAGAATGGCCGTGTTCGAGTTGAGCAGCGCCTCGCCTGGAACACAGACGAGAGCAGACGGAAGCAGCAGGGGGAGTGGCCGAAAGCCGGCGTTTAACGCCGGGGACACACCGGCCGCGGAAGCACCGAGAAGCGAATCGCTCACGAAATTCGGCCGCTGCTCGCCGCTCCTCAGTTCAGATCAGACGCGCCCCAGTCGAGGCGCGCCTCGGCTCAGCTGTAGTTTTTCTTTTAACTACTTGGTGTCCTCAGTTTCCCCTCTGCCTTTTCTCAGCTCTTTTCCTCTACGTTTGATTGAATGTGTGTGGGTGTGTGTGTGTGCGTGTGTGTGTGTGTGTGTGTGTGTGTGTGTGTGTGAACCTATGGTATGAACCAGTTATTTCTGCCAGTTGAATCTCTTGGAACCCGCTCCAATTCTGTAGCTGTATCCTAGCAGTTTCTTCCGACATGGGTACGTAAATAACCATGTTTTTCGGGGGTCGTACAGCTCCTTGTTTTTCTCAACTTCCATAATTAATTTAAAGTCATCCATCTAAACTGCTTGCCTCAGACTTTCTGCCTCTCTATCCTGTTTGCTCTGGTAAAAAGACACCCAAAACCACACACCCCTTCACGTGATCACACACGCACACAAGTTCGATGTGTGTGTGTGTGTGTTCGTGTGGTTTTTCTGCAGTGTCTGATTACGAACACATTTGACTATTGCGGATTTTTTTTTTAAATGCTTTATTTTGTTAAATTTACCGGCCTTCCTGCCAGAATTGACGCGATTCATCCGTGGCTCGCGAAAAAAAGAGCAGATGCCGAAATGATCGCTGCATGGCGCGGGCTGGAGCGCTGGCGCAAGGCGATTCGCGGGGCTTCGGCGGCCCATGTGGTCTATAGAATAGCTTAACAAGGGCGCCGAATGAAGGCGGTCCCAGTTTCTTGGCGCTTCCGCGGCCGGCGTGTCCCCGGCGTAAGTCGAACAGATTTCCTTACATGTGTAGCTCGGGGGTGACGATGGCTGAAGATATCGCGTTAGCATTCACACTAGTTCAATTTTCAATTTTAATTCTGGTGCCTGTTAGCAGCTGAAACACATCCTCACGTGCTTGTGGATATCATACATTCTATATGAAAACCTACAGTCATGTTATCAGCTGTAGCTTCAGTGTGCTCATAGGAAACGTGACAAAAGAAAACAAAACACATTTCTCTTTATGGCCTATATTGTTGTCATCATCAACATAACGTGATTTACAGAATTCATGTGACCAACTAACATTTCATGTTCTACCACCGGATGTTTGGATCAAAATACGAACCAATCAGATCTTAGATCAGGTGAGAGCCAGGCGTTTCCCGTCATCATCTAGGTTTTGCAGCCGGTGGAGAACAACTGCAGTGCCTTGCTCCAAAATCTGCGGCCTCCTTGATCTCACGAGGTTATCGTTGCCTACGTATGCATGACGTCAGAGCAAGTCGGCGTCAAGTCGGACACAAATCTAACCGGCATGCACTGCTAGCCGATCACCGCTGGTCTAATCTGCGCAGAACTGGCTCATCTCGAACACAGCCAATGGCTCGAGTACAGCAAAGCGGAGTTGGTGATGCACTGCGTTGTATGCCGTAAGTATGTGACGACAAAATCGAGTTTTGTTGAGGGAACAAACAAATTCAAACTTGAATACGTTATTATGTTTGTGAATGTGTACAAAATAAAGGTTTATTACATTTAAAACGGTTCAGTTGTTATTTTGACTCATTTTGGCAGCTGACCAGCGGGGCCGGTAGATTCTTGGCGGGGCCGGTAAATATTCAGAGTTACCGGCCCGGCTGGCCGGTTGGTTTTGAAGTTAATGTCCACCCCTGTAAATAGTAGGGACACTAAAGAGTAGGGACTCTAAAGAGTAGGGATACTAAAGAGTAGGTACACTAAAGAGTAGGGACTCTAAAGAGTAGACATACTAAAGAGTAGGGACACTAAAGAGTAGGGATACTAAAGAGTAGGGGTACTTAAGAGTAGGGATACTAAAGAGTAGGGATACTAAAGAGTAGGTACACTAAAGAGTAGGTACACTAAAGAGTAGGTACACTAAAGAGTAGGTACACTAAAGAGTAGGGACACTTAAGAGTAGGGATACTTAAGAGTAGGGATACTTAAGAGTAGGGATACTTAAGAGTAGGGATACTTAAGAGTAGGGATACTAAAGAGTAGGGATACTAAAGAGTAGACATACTAAAGAGTAGACATACTAAAGAGTAGGGACACTAAAGAGTAGGGATACTAAAGAGTAGGGATACTTAAGAGTAGGGATACTTAAGAGTAGGGATACTAAAGAGTAGGTACACTAAAGAGTAGGTACACTAAAGAGTAGGTACACTAAAGAGTAGGTACACTAAAGAGTAGGTACACTAAAGAGTAGGTACACTAAAGAGTAGGTACACTAAAGAGTAGGGATACCAAAGAGTAGGGATACGAAGGAGTGAAGATACTCGGCTCAGGGTTTTTTGCTGTCGATTACAAAGATCAGTTCAATTTAGTTACGATGATTACTACGGTTAGTGTCGGTGAGAGTTTCTGCTCCAGCTTCATTTCTGCAGAAAGCTTTGAAAACGCATCTCAATACGCCAAAAAGTTTGTTCTTAAAAGCCAAATTAAATCTGTTGCATTGAAGCGTTTTAACGTCCTCACCCCACGCGTTTACTTTTCGTTGCAGGATGAAAACTTTACATCACTCTCACTGAATAAACTTTCCATACGGCAGACATGTTTATGTTTTGCCGCTGCGCGGTTGTGAAGCGGTGAGGGAGACGCTACGCTGGAATACGATGTAATACGCCAATCAAAATGTTCACATGTACCAGGCGATAACGATTAGAGGCCGACTGACGTGACAAAAAGAGTAAAACAGAGATCTCAGGGATCATAACGGAACCCCGACACGAGTCTGAACACACCTTGAATCACTTTGAGGAAAGGCGAGTTCCCGTTGATGTCCGTGCTGCCGTTCTTTATGGGACTTCTCATGTCCGTCTCATCCGGGCACAGCAGAACTTCTATTGGGCCCTTGGTGCTGGTTAGGTGAATGGATAAACTCTGGAACAAAAATGTTCCAATTAAAGCACCAATACAGCAATTTAAAACCAAGCTTCAGTACAATCAGAGACCAAAATGCCTTAAAAAAAACCTCAGTGAGAATATTAGGAGTAAAATAAACGATCCCGTGGTTAACGGTTTCATTAGATGTGGTGCAAGCACTGGTGTGTTTCTCTGGGAAGATCTCGTCTTGAACAAACCTCGTCAGGATCTGGTACTTCCAGTTTGGTGTCTGTGGGTGCTTTGACCACGATAACAGTCTGGTCTCTGAGGCTCTCCACCTGTTTGATGTCTTGATATGTTATATAAGCATACGTAAAAGCAAAAGTGTTAAAGAAAAAAACATTTTAACAAAGAAAACCATTAAGAACACTCAGGACAGGCTTTTTGTCTTCTCCAAATCACAACAGAAGTTGTGGAACTGCTGAACAAACTCCAAATTGTGTCCTCTGATGCACTGTGGGGGCTAATTTTATGCTAACTAAAAGTAGCTACAAGTGATTTTAAGTTCATGGACGATCAGATGCACAAATAAAAGGATATTTCTGGTTGCAGGGCAGGTCGCTCATGTGTCTCATGTCGAGGCTGCATCTCTGGATGAGCTGCTCCAGCCGCTGCTCTTCTTCACCCAGAGCAGAAACTTCCGCCGTCAGCTCTTGTCTTTGGCCCAGAGCCCCCTCCACCTCCAGCAGACTGCAGCCCCTGTGAGCAAACGATCGAGTCACTCAAAGAATAGACCCGCAGTTGCTTTTTAATTCACAATGCCGTTAATTTGCCGCAATGCCGAGCCTTCATCTGGGAGCCTTAGATCGTTTAGAAGTGGTCAGACCGTGGAGGTAATGTGGGGCAATTGTGTCCTTTTTACAAAAGATTATGCAATGGCGGTATAAAGGGGGTATGGGGGCGGTCTCTGCGCTGCCACAGACTTCTGTTTATCTTGGACTAGGGCTGGGCATTGAAATTTCTGACTGATGAGATAATTTCTTCCATGTCAATAAATTTGATAATAAAAAAGAAAAGGTGTGTGTAGGTTGGCAACGTTCATGTCCCTTCAAGAAGCTGTACCACCTTGAGTCACGTAAAAATGTGACTCAACGTAATACACGTGACAGCCCCATCTATTGGACTTTTGTTTCTGTGCATACCTGTAGTTATCGTCCACTTATCGTTATCGAGGTGAAATCCTCAATATATCAGGATATTGATTTTAGGCCACGTTGCCCAGCCCTTTCTTGGACAACTTGCTTTTTATTGCGACTGAAGCTGCGCTCCTTAAGTTTTTTTCAACAATCCTCTTCTAAAGGTGTCTTTCCTCCACAGTCCCCCTGCAGTCTCGGGAGATCTGAGCTTCAGCTCTAATGGAGAGAAGCTCTACATCACTAGTTTATATCCTAGCTGGTTCGGTTTACAAAAACAAAACTTACTGCATGTGTTTACTTTCATGTTCAATACAGTTTCCGGCCGGAGCTCGGCAGTAACTCCCCACGCGATCATGACACCTCCCTCTGTTGCGCCAAAACGAAAGATGCTTTCACAAGTTCGGCGTTGCGGCACCATTTCTACCAACTCCCTGAAGTCAGAGGGTCTGATGAAGTGATCTGCAGCTGGTTGTCTCCTGGTGGTTGTCGAGACTTTTCTAAAGGATCAACTCCCTAGAGTCCAAGGGGTGACTGTTCCTTGTACTCGGTGGAGTCGAAGGAATTGGACTTGTGCTTAACTTGTGTTGATTGTAATTCATTTTCTTGTGAGTTACTGTGTTCATTTATTTGTGTTTATTTATTTAGCAGGCGCTTTAATCCAACGTGACTTACAATTTATAACCTATAGGGCATGTTGTGATCTGTGGGGGAAACCGGAGTACCCGGAGGAAACCCACGCATGCATGGGGAGAACACGCAACTCCACGCAGAAAGGCCGCAGCAGAGTTTCGAACCTGCAACCTTCGTGCTGCGAGGCAACAGTGCTAACCACTGCGCCACCGTGCGTTGCAACCAAAGTAGATACAAAAGAGAAAATCAGAAGATGTCACCAAACAACCGGCACTTGTAAAATTGGAAGATTTACTGATGAAGCAGAATTGAAGGATGTGAAAATAAGCAGTTATAAAATGTCTCTTTATAAACTCTAAATGTCGTAAAATGAAGCGGAAATCCTTCCACATCACAATCATCTACTCTGCTTTGTGGTTTCCTAAAGAGCTATGTAAAAAATTAGATTTATCTGGTCACTGGATGCAGGTTTTTACATCCCACAGCCACTCTCCCCGTCGTCTGAATGGATTAAATTACAGCGCACTTCGATGGAATAAAACTTCTTTTAACATGGTTAATGTCTGTCCTTTTCATCCTGGCCGTGGAACACTGGCCACTGGAGCTCTACACCCTTAGGGGGGCCCTGGAGGGTGCGTGGGAGTTCGCCCAACCAATCTACATGTGTTTTGTGGATTTGTAGAAGGCGTTTGATGGTATACTCCATCTGGCCCTCTGGGGGGTACTTCGGGAGTAAGGGGTACCGGGCCCTTTGATATGGGCTGTTAGGTCTGCATTGCTGACAGGAAGTCGGACTTGCTCCCAGTGAGTTGGACCCCACCAAGGCTGCATCAGAACATGATCTCTGGCTTTCGCTGGAGCGGTTCGCAGCATAGTGTGAAGCAGCTGGGATGAGAATCAACTCCTCTAAATCCAAAACCATGGTCTTGAGTCAGAAAAGGGTAGAATGCCTTCTCCAGGTCAGGGACGATGTTCTGCCCTGAGTGGAGGAGTTTAAGTATCTTGGGGTCTTGTTCACGAGTGAGGGAAAGATGGAGCAGGAGATCGACAGGCAGATTGATGCTGCGTTTGCAGTGATGCTGGCGTTGTACCGGTCAGTCGTGGTGAAGAGAGAGCTAAGCCGGCAGACCTTCTGACATTTATGGTCACGGGCTTTGGGTAGTGACCGAATGAATGAGATTGCAGATACAAGCGACCAAAATGTTTTTTTTTTTTTACAGGGTTTCTGGGCTCTCCCTAAGAGATGGTCATCGATGGGAGCCAGCTGGTGAGGCTTTCCGGGCAGGTCCAACTGAGAGGACGCCTAAAGGAAGATCCAGGACATGCTGGAGGGACTGTTTCTCAGCTTGCCTGAAAATGGATGTATGGCTAGCATCAGGGTTGTCCAGTAATCAGAGGGTTGTAGGATCGATCCAAGCTCCCAGCAAAGAATACAGCAGTTGAGTCCTTGGGCAAGACTCTGGTGACCCACAAGGTAACCCACCTTGCCTGCTGGTGGTGGTCGGAGAGACTGGTGGCACCAGTGCTCGGCAGCCTCACCTCTGTCAGTGCACCCCAGGGCAGCTGTGGCTACATCGTAGCTCAACACCACCAGGGCGTGAATGTGTGCATGCATGGGTGAATCACTGATTGTGTTGTAAAGCACCTTGAGGGGTTCTAGGACTCTAGAAGTCACTATATTAAATACATTTATTTTCCTTAACACCTTCCCACCTCCCACACATTTTCCGTAATTGATCTAGTGGCAGCTACTGTTCCACGTGGAATATAAAACAGATTCCACTTACAGAACCCTTTAAAAACTAGACTTTGAGCAGTAAACAGTCTTAACAGTTAGCTTCACTCACACCCTGCACAAGATCACAGGTAACAATAACTCACATCCACTGAATGTTGTTCTTAGATTTCTTCTTGATGAGATGAATGCCTTCTAGCACATTGGTGATGTCATACAGACGCCTTTTTTGGACCTAAAACAAGAAAATACAAGTCAACCCGCAGTAAAAGATGAGTTTTTAAATAAACCGGTAAAAAAATTCCCACCCTGTTAATTAAAATCGGTCACTACTTTTGCATTAATGTCCATCACGGTTTTCTTACACGACTGTAACAACTCACACCCATAAAGGGCTGTTGTGCTAGTAACCAGGTTAACTTTCATTAGCTACACAAGTCATAGGATTCTCTGTATTACAAAGTTCATTCGTTTACTTTAATTCTCTTCAGGGATCATCACTGGCTCCCACCCTGACAAGTTATCAGGCCATCACAGGACCACACAAGAGACACACGAGGCAACTGATCACACCTAGTGGCTGCTTAAAATAGCCGGTTAACCTGCCCGGCACATTGTCAGTGTGTGGGAGGAACCTTTGAGAAAGCGCATGCATGCATGTGAACGACACGCTAACTCTGTGTAGAAAGACTGTGGTCAGGTGTTGAACCTGCAAGATCCTTGCTGTACTTGTTGCAGTAATTTTGTGGATGGTGTGACTAAAGAACCAGCAGATGATGCCAAAAAAAGGAAGATCCCCCCAAAAGACACACACACACACACACACAATTAAAAACAAAAGGACTTCAAAGACAACCCCGGTGGGTTTAAACTTCGTATTTTATCAGGATGACAGATTGAAAGCTCTGCTGGAGATAACAACACTGCCGTGAGTCAACTAGCAGGATTCAAATCTCACCTGTAAAGTTTCTGCTGCAATGTTGAGGTCCAGAACTCCATCAGAAGACTGAGCAAGAAGATCCACGAACTTCTTCGTTAGCAGCCCCAGGGAGGTGTCGTATCGTGTCTTCTCAGGGGGAGACTTGGGTGCTGAGGCGGACCAGACGTAAGACAAGGCGATAAAAGCCAATCAGATTTTATTCATGACACTCGATTGCTCCTGAGAAATGACCTTTACATCACAGGATGGGCACCCAACTAAAAACACGACGGTCCTAGCGGCGGGTGTCGGATGAAAGCTAGCACTTCCACTTGATGAACCTTTTCCAGGAACCAGGGTGGTTTTTTGGGGCCTTTCTCCCCTCCTGGGGGCCGTAACTTTCAGGGTGGCAGGGGAGCACGCAACCTTTCTGTCTCCTGGGCGTTCCCAACAGCCATGCACTAGGAATGGGCATGTGAAAGAGCTGAGGCAGGAGCCAGTTTGACTAACAACACCTCTTCTTCACTTAAACTGTTTCAACTTGGTCGTGTCCACGTGGAGCTGGGTTTTTGTAAAACTGAATCTCCACCCTTGCCATCTTGTTTTCGGCACGTTCATTGCCCTGCCAAGCCTGTAGGTGGCACCAGCTCCCCAAATCTTTGGAATCGTCCTTGACGAAAGACATTGCTTGGATGTGGAACAGCTAGGAGGTAGGAATATGGCCTAAAATCTATATCGTGATAAATTCTGAAGCACATGCGATAACAAATACCGCCATATATTTTCTTCTGTTTATACATGCAACAATGTTTTTGAACAATCTCACGTACCAGATGAATAGCAGAGCAAATAATCCTAAAGAGTACAGAATAAAAATCTGTATAAATAATTATAAACTACATTTAAATTTCATAACTTATTGAAATAAATAAAAATGTTTAGGTTCTTTTTTCAAACTACGCATCAAAAATTATCATAAATTAATAAAGATGAAGATATTTTAAATAAAATACAAGCTAAATGCGAAGAAAACAACATTCTAAATGGTGTGAACTCAAGTGAAAAACGTAAAAACACAAACATTTCTTTCTGATTTCCTGATTCATTTTTCATGTTTTTTGCCCATAGAAGTTATTTTTATATCTTTGGTACGTTCTTGCTGTGTTGCTTTTCTAACTGCATTGTTGCTTCTTTTTTAAAACACAGAAAAGGTTTCTTTTTACCTTGCTGACAGTTTCGTTTGCAGCTGACGCTCTGAGGACGTTTGCCAACACATTCTCACAACCAAAGCGTCAAAATATGACGCGTCTGACCAAGCATCAATATATGACGATTCGGGACGCCCCAGCGCGTCAGGAGACGACGATCAGGGACACGACGATCAGGGACACGACGATCAGGGACACGTGGCTCCGCTGGCGTCACAGTTTGACGCCCGCGGTCACACGGACATTATTCGACTATTTAACTTTCCCCTCACCCCAATCCTAACCTTAAGGTCAGTAACTGTGACCTTGATGCGCTAGGGCATCCCGAATCGTCATATATTGAGGCTTGGTCAGGCGCGTCATATTTTGACGCTTTGGGTGTGAGAATATGTTGCGTTTGCAGCCGCGAACGAAACCGTCAGCAAGGTAAAAAGAAAACTTTTCTGTGTTTAAAAAAAAAGAACCAACAGTGCAGTTATTTTTACTTCAGGAGTTTGAATAACTGAATGCTCTGCTGCGTTTTTTTTTTTTTTGTCAATATCACAATAATCTAGGAGGTTTATCCAATTTCTTTCGCTTTTGTTAAGCTGCGCTCAGATCAGCTTATCCATGCCGGTCTGACCCACCGTGGTGCGCACCAGCTCAGAGCGGAGACTAGATCTATCTTACCTAACGCAGGCGTGGGGAACCCTGGTCCTCGAGGGCCGGTGTCCTGCATGTCTTTGCTCCAGCTGGATAGCGGCCCTCGATGGACCCGGGTTCCCCATCCCTGACCCAAAGGGACAAACAGCTAAAATTAGGGAGGACTGTGGGTGAAAATCACAGGAGATGTCAACAAAGCCTTAAGTGTTCATCATGTCAAAAAACAAACGGCATTTAAGAGATTTGGCGTTAACGAGCTTTTAACGCTGATAAGACTTCACTCTCACCTGGCATATTTTACTGACCAGGTGCGTGTAACCGACATTACTCCGTGTTGTTTACGAGCACGTTTCATCCACGCGTGACGGTGGCACAGGAGTTAGGTGCTCGCCCCGTAACCGGAAGGTTGCAGGTTTGAGCTGTCAGTCTGACGCTGACGTTGTGTCCTTGGGCAAGACACTTAACCCCCACTGCCTGCTGGTGGTGGTCGGAGGGACCGGTGGCGCCTGTGCTCGGCAGCCTCGCCTGTCATTTGCCCCCAGGGCAGCTGTGGCTACATCATAGCTCATCCTCACCGGTGTGAATGTGTGTGTGTGAATGATAGTGATGTAAAGCGCCTTGGGGGGTTCCAGGATGCTAGAAGGCGCTATATCAAATACCATAGAGCTGACACAGATTGACAACGTTAACGCTAAAGTGGGTGAAGCTCTAAACTGTCTCGCTCCTCGCCAGCAAGCGCGACCGGTTGGCCCGTAGTAAAAAGTTCAACATCCGTCTATACCGCAATAACCGTCCTCAACGTGGTCTTTCACCTGTGGTCTTCTAGAGCAGAAACTGAGCTTGCAAAAACAAGTGAGTGGGTGCAAGCACATCAGAGCAAATCCCAAAATTCACAAATCTCCACTTTGGTGGGAGTTTTTTTTTTTTTATCGCGTTTGGTTGTGTTCATCTTCACTTTTGTGTGGACAATGGGCCAAAACGTAGAAAAGTACCTTTGTTTGGCGAGACACCCAGCTACGCGTGTACAGGGTCTACCCTGTAGCTGAAACCCTGGGATAAAATTAACAGATGTGTGCGTTAAAGCGCCCACAGGAGGTCCAGCAAAACCAGAAATGCTGTTTGGAGGGCGCATCGCTTTTGATCTGGTTTATTAAATAGATGGAAAATTACTGATTAGTTGAGTTTTCACAATCCTCTAAACAGCCACAACAACCTCTATAGTGACAAATAGCTCCAAGTGCCCGAGCCTTACTTCTTGGCGTCTTTATCCGTGTCCCGTTGGCTGCTGCTCCTCTTCCTCGTGGAGTTTTGGCTGGTTCTGGCTGGTACTGGTGGTCCGAATCATCAAGAGCCAACCGCCTTTTTGCCTTATAAGAAGCACACCAACAGGAATTTACTCATAGTTTTAATACTGACAGTGGTCTCTAGTAGGAACGCTGATGCTTAAGCTTGGTTTATGCTTGACACATTCACTTTCCGCGCGGTGATGCGGCTCGCGGATGGAACGCGCTTCACAACTCGCAGCGTTTATGGTTTGTGCGGCTTGTCTCTGTGGTGAGCCAATATTCTCCCAAACTGTAGGGGGCAGCATGGAGCTCTACAGCATGCATCCAACACTACACCATAGTAGAAGTAGAAATTACTGTTGTTTACAACATGGCATTTCAGCATTTTTAACAGCGTCCTCGTCTTTTCCGACAGTGCGAGCTATTTCTCTCCAAGAATTATTAACAACATGTTGATCACGGTGATCTCGGAGAGCTGAATCATACAAATGTCTATATTTACGAACCTCTGCCATACTAGTTCTTGCCGGTCCGCCATGTTTTTCCGCATCCGTCCGTCCGCGTGGTTAAAAATTTTCCGAGGTGCGCGTTGCGGAAATTCTGGGCCGTGCGGAGGCGCTGTGGAAGGCCGTGGTTGTTAAAATGACGCAACTTTTCCGCGCAGAGCCGTGCGGACCTCGCGGATGCGTCAAGCATAAACCAACCTTTAATCTCCACAAATAACTCAAGCCTGGAGGAGTTCTGCTGCGTGGTGGAGCAACTAATGGTTAGCTTCTACTAGTTGAGACGTTCTATGCCGTTTCCTGGACGCTAAACCAACAGCCTTCCCCGTCGTGAGTAAAGGTGGGCGAGTCCATGAATGTTAACTCTTAAATGTAAAGTTAAATATCCCAAACATGGACTGTGCCTTCTACAGACATGTTAAGCTTTATAGGAGGTTTTCCATATGGTCAAGTGATGTCATCTATGTATGAATGACAAAGTATTATTCGGAATTCATCTTTCTTCTTTAAGTGGATCAAAATGGTAAAAAAAAAAAAAAAGCAATCCAGGTTATTGCCACATAGCAGGAACTAAACCTGCAGCATTCAACTCTTAAAGTGGCCCAATGGCAGAAGTATTCACATTCCCCAGCAGGATCAGCTTTGTAATATCTGCCCTCTTCCACTTCATCTTCACATGCAGCTGGGCTGCAGAGGAGCCCTTTCTCCTGCACGTCTCCCACATCTGATCCCAATTAAATTCATAACCTTAGAATGAAGGTGTGCTGCTACTGCAACAACCCACACAGTTGTGTCTTAAAGCAACCACGTGCAATCAGAGTGAAATAAATCTGTTGGTATGCAGTCACAAATCATTTTGCCTTCAGAAAACATCAACATCTCCTCACATTAACATTTTAGTCATATTTAGCAGAAGACTGGGAGGAGGGAGAGCCAGTGTCAGCCATTTTCTCTCAGCAGGCAGATCCCCTCACCCCCTCTCTGCTGGCCATGGCCACAGCCTGACACAAACTGGTTTAGTTCATAAAAGAAAGAATCACATGCAGCTCGAACCTTAATGCACAATGTGGTTTGTGCATGTAGAGAACACAGGAAACGTGCAATCACCTCCAGAGCAAGCACCTTGAGTTTCACTTTAGTTGGCAGAGAAACGTGACTTTATAAACAAAGAGAAGCACGTAAAGCAGCGACAACTCTGCAGAACATAAACCTGGATGGGTTTAGTTGCTCCACATAAGTAAGCCTTAGATGCTAAAACACTTTTACGCTAGATGCAAGTTGCATCTTCAGGGACGACTTGATCCACCGAGAACTTTCTGAACTGAGGAGAAGTTGCATCTACGCACAAACCCGTGTTTTATGCAGGCTCGGCTCTCATCTCGCTAGAAAGCCTAAAAACGAGCCATTAAAGGGGGCAGGCGAGGGAACAACCCCACCAACCCCAAATAAAGAACATCAGCTACTAGGCCAACGCTAACGTTACTCATCCCTTACCGATATTTCCATCTGGCTGCAAAGGTGAAGCGAACCTTAAAGCACCACGAAGTTGCCTAGCTCGCTAGTAAACGGGACGTCTGTATGTCTATAACGCTTAGATTACACTTTAACCAGTTCGCTGCCTTCCCCGCAGTTAACTACCCGGGTAACCAACCCATTTTAGTCAGCTTCAGTGGGTTGAGTCGTGTGGGAATGCCCTGGCTAAGTAGCTAGCGTTAGCAGCCCGAACAACAAGCTCGGCTAACTTAGCAGGCTAACATGTTGTCGGACTAAATGTGTGAATTATTGCCGTGTGGGTTTTTACCGGAGGTCTTCCCAGAGCGGGTCGCTGTCCTGTTCCGTTTGCTGCAGCTTGTTGGGGAGTTGAGTAAATGTTACTGAGCTGAGGCTCGGATAAACACACATTTGATGTCTGTGTAACGTTACAAGGCGGTGGTGTGGTTATTATCTGAATATACGTAGTACTGGATTGACCGGGGTTTAAACGATCCGAGAGGGCTGTTAAAATGATGTTATTGTCCAGAGAAGAGCCCCCGACGCCCGCTAAAATCACTTTGTCCGGAGCCGAGGAGATCCCTCTTCTCATCTTGCGTTCTCGGGGTAACCCCTTTCTTGTCTCTGAACTTTCGAGGCTTCGTGGCTGCTAATCCGTCGTCGTGACTACAAAAATAATCAGACTGAAGTGAAGATTAAAGTCTGAATGATCGGCTTTTAAAAGGTATTTTTCATTAAGAAAGTGCATTTAGGCAGATGCAACGGATTTAAAAGTAGCGCAACTCTCGTATCTGCCGTCTAGAAATGGCTTCAGGAAACGGCCTGATGAATGAAGGGATACGGTTTACGCGCTCAAGAGCCCTCCCGCGAAACTCAGATTTCCCGGGGAAATTTCAAACGGAATATACATGTTAGACGCTATTGGGTCTTCAAACATGAGCCCCCGCCCTTAGTTGATGCGTACTGACCAATGGCAGATCAGGAAACAGTTCGACACGTGCTCATTGGCAGTTGTAAACAGGCAACGTCACTCTTCACAGGCTGCGTGTTTCCGGAAAGAACGCCAGGTGGCGGAAGTTATCAAGTTATAGAGAAAAATGCAACTAAAAGCCTTCGTGAACAGCAAAAAACAAAATTATTCCAGGTGACAAAGGTTTAATAAATGCTGTTTCACTGAAATCTTAACTGCTTTCACTGAAGATTAGTTAAGAAGAAATTCGACATATATAATAATTAAATCATTTCAGATTAATCAATGAAGCAGGAAACAAATATACTAATAAACTAACGAAAGACCGAACTACTTCATGATTTGGTTCAATTCAAAACAGAACAAATACTGTATAAGTAAGACACAACCAGCTCCCCCTACAAATAATGACATTGTTTCATGGAAAAGATGGAGGGCACGACCCAAGAGCCTAAATGAATAGTAAAACACAGCTTTCTGAACAACATTAATACGCTGGTGTGTCTCAGTGGCAGGTATGAAAATGTCAAATGGTCTAAGACAATAGTTGTTACCCTCCTTATGTCATTGAAGCTGTAAGCTCCTAGTTTTTTATAATCATTTTGTGAATTTTAGGGATTAACATAGAACTGTTCAACCAAACTTACAATAGTTAGTAGAAACACTTCCTGTAAATTCGTTCAAAAATAAAATGTGTGTTGCCGTTAGCAACAGGGTCTTTTTACGCTTTTCATTTAGCTAAAAAACTGTTAAAACATATTCATGTATTAGTGTTAAACACAACTGTTGTGTGCAGTGGTGAACAGGAACAACGGGAGCATTGGGATTGGGATATATGTATGTCGATGATTGGGACGCAAAGTTAAAGCAATCCTTTATGTCTGGCTTTCGAGATTAAGAATTTTCCGCCCTCTAGCGGACGTAAACCGTCACTACAGGTATTGTTCATAAAGCTAAACAAAACATTAGACATTAACACTTCTTGTAGATTCCTTCAAAATAAAACGTATCATTAAAAATTACTACACTTTTCAAATTTGCGTTAACAGCATAGTTCGTCTAAATAACGGGGAAGACAGAACGTCATCACTTATACAAACTACGTACCTACTAAAACTAAAATCTTTTCAACAAGATCAAATCGAGGAGCTAAAGCAGAAACTATTAGGAGCTAGCTACCAGCACAACAAACATATCAGATCATACGCCTTCTGGCGGCCACAGGGCGACACTACATCCACGACAGAGGGATTTTACGTTTAATAAATAAAATAAAATTAATAGGTAATATAACATTAATATATTTAGTTAAACGAAAAACTAACAGTTTTATATCTGATATGTTTGATCAGAAACTATAAAACGTATGCTGGTAAAGTTATTGGTAAAGACCAATAAAAACCCAACGGCATCTAATAAACAGACATTGATACAGATTTTTTTTAAATTTATTTTTAAAGGTCCGTATTTTGTAATAAACAGGAAAAGCACTAATTTGTTTGGATTTCACAATAAATGTGTAAACATCAACTAACTAAAATTAAACCAAATACAACAAAAGGACAAAATTGAAAAAGCCAGACATGAAGAAACGTGTTTACTTTTTAAAAAAACAAACTTTTAATTTAAATACTTGTGTTCAAGTTTAAATTTTTTTTTTGATTGATAGCCACATATTGAGCCTATAGAGTTCCTGGGATCACGTGACTAGGATGGAAACAGGAGAAATCTGGTTTTGGAGATGGGTTTCTTACCCTCTAGTGGACAAAGCTGTTACTACAGGGAATGTTCATCAAGCTAAACAAAACACTACTCATTATCACTTCCTGTTGAATCTTTCAAAATAAAACATAACATCTAAAATACATTGGGGCTTCAGTTAATGTTAACAGCGTAGTTAGTCTAAATAACAAACAAACAAACCAGAATGGTTTCAATTATACAAACTACTTAACTACTAAAACTCAATAAATCTATGTTAATTATCTGTGTTCAACAAGATTAAATCAGTGAGCTAAAACAGGAGCTATTAGCAGCTAGCTAACATCACCACAAACATATCAGACCATACCCCCTCTGGTGGCAACAAGGCGCAACTACATCCACAGTTAGAGGGATTTTACTCTTAATTAAATTAATAATAGGTAATGCAAAATGAATATGGTCATTTACATTTTAGCCAGCATAGGTTAATAGCGTCTATTCAAGCATGTCAGTCAAACATATAAGTTCAAACACCAATACATACCCAATTATATCTAATAAACACACTTAGACATTAATGCAGATGCTGATTTTAAGCAAAATGTCCTTTTTTAACAGAAAAAGCATGAATGTTTTTTGATTCCACAATGAATTTATAAAATACTGAAACAAATATGATAAAAACAAATGCAAAAAAATAAAATTTTGTTAAAAAAGTCCACTGAAATACAGACTAAATGATCTCAACAGCTGAATTTTTCTTTTGATGAAATTTTTTAATCAGATAAATGAAAATTTTCAATTATTTGAATTAAATGATGTGGTTTAAAGGGCAAAATTGATGTAAAATGTAATTGCTTGATTTTAAAATAACAAAATGAAGTAGAAGAAACACAGTTTCCAAATCACTCTCAAATAAAGCTTTAATAACCTTCCATTCGATTATGTATTTATGTTAGAGCAGTCTAACATAAATATGGACAACTTTTAACTCTTAATTTAATCTTAGAAATATGTTCTGCAAGAATTGGCCACCTAGATGCTATAAGCTTAGTAATTTAAAAGACATAATGTGGCATAGATGTTCTGTAGTGAAAATAAATCCCAAATTTAAGTACATAACATAGACTGTACATACGTACATAAAAAAATATAACAATAATTAATTAACAATGTATTTTTTTCATGGCAATTTCACCTCTGAAAAATGAAATCTGCCTTCACAATCGGAGTGCAGTAACAAGTCTGTATTTATACAAACAATAATGCTTAGTTTTCTCGTCTAAACTCTTGTTTTCCTCTAAAGGCTCTTCCACAGGACGAGGGGGTAGACGGAAAATGTTATTTATCGAGATGCTGAACAAACCGGAAGTAACTTTAGCATGCTTTTATTTTTTAAGTTCTAAACGGAAAATACCTGTTTTTACCGGTCTGGCTTGATGAAAGCGGAGGAGAGGAAGTGGGAGCCCACACGAAGTGGGACACTCGGGAGGAGGACTGTGCCTGCGCCGCACACCGGACTGGTTCGGCTTGTCACACGCCCTCTCTGGGCGACTATGAGCTCGCGTCACTGAGAAGAATTCCTTCACAGAGAAAGGAGTAGAAACCAGAAAACACCGACATAGGCAGGATGGGCGAGCGCGCGGAGGATTTGCTGTTTAAAACCACAGGATCCAAGTGGCTGCTACCTGTCGGGCGACTTCTGGGATTACCTATTGACCAGGTAGGGCCAACTCACCTCCCACGAGCCAGAACTAAGCAGCACGCTCGTGTTTAGCAAGAAAAATAAAATCTATAATTCATCCTTTCATTTCATAATGAATGGGCTGTCATTACTGCACGTGGCGTGTGACATGTTAATGTTCAGTCGTTGAGTAATACAAAGAGCCGCTGAACTCCAGCCAGAACGATGGAACAGGTGTTCCAATAAGGGACGTCATCCATCCTTACGTTCGACTCCTTTCAGGTGAACTTTATGTCCTGCCAGCTGTTTGCCCTGGCTGCTGCCTTCTGGTTTCGTCTCTACCTCAGTCCCGGCCATGCCAGCCCTCTGGTCAGACACACCTTCGCCACGCTCCTCGGGATTGGTATCCTGATCTTCTGCTTCGGGTGGTAGGTATCTCGCCCACACAGAGCTCCAGTCTTTCTTCTTTTCCCCATCAGTCCACACCACAAACATCTGTTACACCAACCCAGTGAAAGGACTTCATTACCTGCGTGTGGCGAAGGAAACTTTTTAATTATCTTTTACAGGTGATCTCTGTCTCTGATGGAAATTAGAAGTGTCACTGCTTCTGTAATGCAGTATATGTTCATACACACACACACACACACACACACACTTTACACTCTGAATTTGTTTGTGTTTTACCTCCAGAGATGTTTGAAATCGTTTGATCAATAGGTGTCCAGAGCATGTGTCTGACCCTAACACAGCCAGTGGCGTGTCCAGATCTTTTAAAATGGGGTGGCCCAGGTGAGGCACTACTTTGTGCATAGTGGTTATGCTTTTTTGTTTCACCTCAAGCCTTTTGTGGACAACGAAGAGCCTATTTAAAGGGAATTCAGTGTGGTGACACCTGGGGGCCAATCAGATTCCAAGGGTGGCATGTGCTACCCCAGGCCTCTCCCTGTGGACACGCCCCTGAACACAGCTGTTCACAGCAAATAATACGTTTCCAAAAACAGCATCAAAACCCTGCAGATGCACTAGTATTCATTCGTTTGTCTAACTGTTTGGCAATTTTTACTGATTCAGCAGCTTTTTACAGGCTGCTGGTAGAAATATTATCCCTTAAGATAAACTTTAAATCCGCTTCTTTGCCAAAGTGTTACACCGGCTCATCCCTTGAGTTAAGGAAGATTTACGGGTCACAGTTAAGGTCAACAAACAGAAGGAGAAACCGGACTGACGGTGAGTAACAAGATAGTCAGGCTTCTTCTCATCCAAATGTGATGAAATCACGGCTGACTCAAGTCGGCTGCAAAACACCGATGGTAAAAATCGTGCTGTCATCGGTTTCAAGCTGAGGGATTTTCCACTCGTCCGTCGGCCGGGTCTGCAACAGGAACGCCATGGGGTTAAAATGAACAAAAGCATCGTTTGGGTGTGTGATCTGTGTGCAGGTACTCGGCTCACATCCTGGCCGTGGTGGTCGCAAGCTACTTCATCATCGTTAAAGGTGACATCAACAATGTGCACAGGTGAGTGTTTGTCTTGAAGATCCACCTGTCCTGCTGCTTTTTAGCCCAGACAAACACACCTGTTCCAGCATGCTGACACATGGTGACTGTGCCTATTCCAATACGTGATTTACTGTTTTCAGTTTGATCCTGTCTGACAGGAATCTCCTCACACTGCTGGTGGTTAGTGGGTGATGGTTTGGTTGATGGATGGTTTAGATGAGGTGGTACGGAGAAGTATCTACACTCTCTCTTCTCGTGCTTTTATTTTGGAGGCGAGACTGAGGTTAAAGTGTCGGTTTCATCATGGCCTGCCCTGAGCCGTTGCGGGTGTGAAGGCAGCTGGATAATCCAGCCAGACGAGTCTCTTTGACTAACTAAGACAACCTGCGTGTCTTCCTGCCTGCCTGTCTACAGTACACATGCGTTAGGTCTCAAGACATTTAATGTCACACGATTGTTTTAGTGAGACACAACATTTCTCAGGTGTTTTTCTGTATGAATGAAGCCACATGATCATTAGGGAGCCGCGGCAGTCACACGTGCTGGTAAAACCTGCCGGCAGAGCCAGATAAACATCAGAGTTTGTGTTGTGAGGAGACACAGTGAAACCCAGACTGTGTCCTGTTGTAAACCTACTCGGCGTCGGAGGAATATATGAGCTTAGTCTAATGTTGATTTCTGCCTTTTAATGAATTTGTCGTGAGGAGGGAGAGCTCCTTTTATTTTTTAATTAGGCTCTTGCTCAGAGATCTACAGCTGTGTAATGGTATCAGGACATGGCACCTGACTACGTTTGGTAACTGCTGCAGAAGTGGCTTTCATTTATGCTCTAAATATTTATTAAGGCTAAAATATGCTGGAAAGATCAAAAATGTACCTAAGCTGAAAGCTCAAGCTAACATTTCTGGTTTTTGTGGTTTTTTTATATACGGCTTTATTAGTTAGTTAGTTCCTCGAAGTTCATTTTAAAAACTCATGACTCATCTAATGATACACCATCAGTAGGGGGTAAACCTGCTTGCAGTGCCTGTAATCGTCTGCTTCACTCCCTGTTCACTCCTCCACACCCAGGTACACCATGGTGACGGCTATGGGCTATCTGACAGCGTGTCACGTCAGCCGGGTCTTCATCTATAACTACGGAATACTTTCCACCGACTTCTCTGGGTAAGCTGAATCACGTTGTTGCCTCTCGTCTTATCTGTCACCACTCCCTGGTGATGATGGCGTGGTTGGCATTTGAGTTGTGGAGCAGCTCTTTTGTTGCCGGTTAACATTTCCAGGCTGTGTACTGACTCTGTGGCCACAGCCTTGTGTAAACACAACACCTCTGACTTCAGAGGTGGCAGGAAGTTGCTGCTCACAGTTTTGACTCTGCAAAGCCAGGCGGGGTAAGGGTGCTTACCGGCACCTGGAGTTTACCTTAGTTTGGAGCCTGGATGGGCCATCAAGAGGGGTTCGTAGCTAGGCTTAGGTCTTGTTAGGCCAAACTAGAGGGAAATTTTATAAGAAGGACACAAAAAAACAAGAACCTCCGTCAGGTTGCAGGGGTAGCAGCCTAAGCAGAAAGGCCCGGACTTCCCTCTCCCCAGCCTTTTGGGCCAGCTCTGCTGGGTGAATCCCGGCAGAGCAGCAGATCTACTCTGAGCCCCTCCCAGATGACTGAGCTTCTCACCCTATTTCGAAGGAAGATCCCAGACACCCTGCGGAATAAACTCATTTCGGCCGCTTGTATCCTCGATCTCCTTCTTTTGGTCACTACCCAAAGCTCGTGGCCATAGGTGAGGGTAGGAACGTAGATGGACCGATAAATCGAGAGCTTCACCTTCTGGCTCCAGGGGCGGAGCTTGATATGTGCAATGTGCGGCCGAACAGGGCGGCAGTCTGGAGGGGGCAGCATTTAATTTCCTTTTTTTTAAATTCATCAACCAATACATAAACAAAACATAGAAATCGCATGTTCTTCATAATAATAATAGTGATGAGTGATGATAATAAAATATTTCTGTAATAAAAGCACAACAAAGTCATTGTTTGCGTTCATATTGTGGGTTTATTGCGCCCCCTTGTGTCCGCCGCACCTCTGTGGATGCAGGGTGGTATAGTGCGCTCTATAGCGCCCTTCATCAGGTGGGGGCGGAGGGATCTCGGAGAATGATGATGGAGGGATACAGGTACCGTTTGACATATCACCGCTCACAAACATAATGGAGACGAAACGGTCGAAGCCATCTGGTGCCCAATTTTGAAAAAAAAGAAAAGAAGAGGAGGAGAAACGAGGAAAAGATGCAGGTATGAATGTCTTTATTATTTAGTTGGTATTTTTCCCGCCTGTCCCCCAACTTATTGATTAGCTAACCTCTCTAATCTGTACGTTTTGCATGGTGCTATGATGATCCTTTCAAATGTCTTTTGCTAGCTTCTTACGTTGCACCTATTTAGAACGACTTCCAACCGCTAGCTTTTTCTTTGTCAAATGAGCTTTTATGAAAAGCTAAGAGTGGGAAAACCGAAAGGCTGATAACTAAACGCTATCAAATAAAAATGAGTCTTTGAGAATTTTGCTGAAATACATTGATATTAGTATTGATCGCCGCCATGGCAGGTTGTCCCGCTTTTTCGCGCCATTCGCCTTTCTTTTTGGAATCGGGAAATGAGCTACGTATTATTTACCCCATGAAAAACGAAGTGGCAGCGGGCCGCTGGAGGTGCCCTGCCAGTAAGATCCCATTTAAACTGTAAACTGCCATAAAATAAAATCTATAATAGCTAGAGCGGTCTTTTTTTAGCTGAAAGTTAAGACTCTCGCCTTTCAGCACATCTGTACTGTACAAGTCGATGATGTCATCATGTTGCATTAAGCGTGCTGCACGCTGCGGCTATGTTAAAAACTCACAGTGACCAAGAAGCAGCGCAGGAGAGTTGAAGAATTTAACCAGTTAAAATGGATTCATGGATATTTAATCAATTGCCGTGGCTCCGCTTGTCATTTAGTTTTTTGTCTGCCGGAGACATTTGCTGAATAAGGAAATAAAAACTTAAAATGACAAAAAAATTAGGGAAAATCGCTTGTTTTGTATCTTATCAATTATTAATGATTAATAGATTGTTGGTGTTTTAACTTTTGGTAAAGGAAAACACACAATTTCCAGGCAGCCCCAGTCTGGAGAAGTGATGGTGACATCAGAGGTTTTTATGAATAATTTGTACTTTTACTTGAGTATTTCTCTAACACCAGTACTTTTACTTGTAAATGAACAATATTTTAGCAATGTAACTGTACTTGTACTTGAGTACAGATTTTCAGAATTCTTTCCACCACTGCTGAAAACTGTAAATGCTCATTGTAACATGTTAATTAAAATGCTTAAGCAACAGACGTGACATGAAGATTGTATTGTTTGTTTTATGCAACATCAGGAGCCCTACACAGATATTTTGGGATGACATCAGCTGCCACTGAGGAACAGCCATCTACCTCCACTGCTCATACCAGTAGGCCAGTATTTGAACTCGAGGAGGGACAGTCTGCTGGCACCACATCTCCCCAGGAAGATACTTTAGGTGGGTTTTGCACATGTGTGTGTGTCCAGCAAACATTTAGCTAAAGACATTTAAATAGTATTTTCACAGAATATAGGAATTGTTCCATATAGCAATGTGGTGAGTTATGCTTCTATTTTCTGTCAATAGAGAGACCTACCAGTATATGTGAACTTGATGAGGGACAGCCAGCTGCCACGTCTCCCCAACAAGATACGTCAAGTAAGTTTTGCACAAGTGTGTGTGTGTGTGTGCGTGTGTCCTGCAAACATTAGAGTAATTTGAATGTCACATATTGTATTTTAATAGAATATGTGAAATGGTCCACATAGCAATGTGTTGAGTTATGCTTCTGTTTTCTGTCAGCAGAAAAGCCTGAAACCAATCAACCAATGAGTCCCATTGAAGGTGATGATGAGCCTCTTTCTTCAGACCCAGCCAAGTGGCCATCACCAATTACTGACAGCATACGCACAGAGCTAGTTCGAAGAGGACCTACTAAGGTGCCAACTAGTTTTATATTTCCCAGGAGTGAAGGCAATGGCAGATGTTGCCATCATCACTATTTCAGTAGAACTTGGACAAGTGGTGAGAAGGTGACCAGGAGCTGGATGTTGTACTCAGTTAGCAACAATAGCCTTGTTTGTTTCTGTTGTAAGTTGTTTTCGAAAAGAAGTGTCCAGTTAACCACCTCGGGCCTGGCAGATTGGACACATGCAAGTTCTTTACTGAACTCACATGAGAAAAGCCCCGACCACATTAACTGTATGAAAACCTGGAAAGAATTTACAGTTAGGTTAATGAAGGGCGAAACTATACATAGTCACTGGCAGTTTGGAACTTGGCACTCAGGGGGCACACAGAAGCGCTTTTCACACGATCAAATGGAAATATTTTAAAAGAGGTTGAACTTATGGCCAGGTTTGACCCGGTCGTGAAGGAACACATTAACCGCATTCAAAGAGGAACCTCCAGTCACACTAGTTACCTGGGTCATCAAATCCAGAATGAGCTGATTGAGTTGTTGAGCAACAAGATCATCTCAACAATAGTAAGTGAGATAAAGCAGGCAAAGTTCTTTTCCATCATCACTGACTGCACTCCTGACAACAGCAACATTGGAGCAGCTGTCAGTTGTGATTCGGTTTGTGGAGGTAAAAGAGACACCTCTTGTGAAAGAACGTTTCCTGGGGATTTTTGAGGCAGTTGAGTCCACAGGCAGTCATTTGGCTTCCACGACTTTGGACAAACTGAAAGAACTAGACATTCCTTTTGAGGACCGCAGAGAGCAGTCGTACGACAACGGATCCAACATGCGTGGAAAAAACAAAAAAAGTACAAGCTCGGCTCTTACAAGAAAACCCCAGAGCTCTTTTTATGCCATGTGTAGTGCACACTCCAAATTTGGTGGTTTCAGATGCTGCCAACGATTCAGTTGATGCCATGAGCTACTTTGGCATCCTTCAAAAGATCTACAACCTCTTTTCCACCTCCACACAAAGATGGGCTATTCTTAAAAGCCATGTGAATCTCACCTTGAAGATGTGGTCCGACACAAGGTGGGAGAGTAAAATTAAGAGATCTACCCCAACCTCTGGACTGGTCTCAGAATTGCACTTACAGTTCCCATGACAGTGGCTGAAGCAGAGAGGAGCTTTTCAAAACTTAAAGGAGCATGGGGCAGGATGAAGAAACGAAACTCATTAGCGACGCACTCGGCGCTGTGAGTAACTGCAGCCCGGCACGAGAGCGCGCACAAACTCTTCACTAGAAAAAAAAAAAAGTTACAGTGATGTACGGCCAGAGCGCGGCTCGAACAAGGCACCGTGTCGAGCGATGAAGTAAGTAACATTGTTACTTTAGTCTAATATTTGTAAAATTCCATGACAACATTAGCATTTTAATTTAGCCATGACACTCGTGATGTAAAGCAAGTGCTCCTTCCTATGAAATATTCATAAGCCAGTTTTGTGACTGGTTAGTAAGACAGTAACGTGATGCTACTTTATCAGCATAAGGCTTTGTGGCTGCAGGTGATTTCTGATGTTTTTAGACCAATTACAGTTATTATTTTGCACTAAGCTTACTAACAAGCTAATGTTATTGTTTATGCATCATGTAAGAACATCCAATTTCAAGTCACTGACATCATTTGTGAAACCAATTTCATTACAGGACAGGCATCACAATGTAAATAAGAACATAAATATCAATGTTTAGTTCAAAAATGCATCAAAATAAAATCATAATATCAACAAGACCTACAGGGTAATAGTCATTTTTATCATTACTGTCATTGATTTTCAGGAATTCATATTGGAAGGAGTGATGGAAGACAGTTCAGATGGAGTGTGCCCGAGCCTGCCAGACTTTGATGTGTCGTGGGAAAGTCTGAGACCAGGGGCTAAAGGAAAGGGGAGAGGAAAAGGTCGTTCCGAGGGTCGGGGAAGGACACGCTCAAGGGGTGAGGGCAGCAGGTTGAGGTCCAGAGCTTCTTCAAGAGGACCAGGGCGCCGGGGTAGGCAGCGAACAGCTTTCAGAGAAGAGGATCGAGACCGGCTTGCACAGCTGAGAGCTGCCAGTATAGCTGAGATGCAGGTTGGTTGTAGCCATTTGTGTAAAAAAATAAAATAAAATAATGGATGCCAAAAACGAAAACATTACTCACTGGAGATATGAATCTAGTCATGTAAACATATGCTCTTTAATTTCTAGACAGCTTTACAACACCTGAGCCAGGAGGAGAGAGATTATATTCTCGAGAGAGTGGTGACCCGTCTTCCAGGGGTGATGCTGGATATCCTGGAGTTTCGGCAAGAGACGCCAGGACACCGTCTTCCTGACTGAGGGCACCCTAACCCAAAAATCCTAACCGTTTATCTACAACTACAGTAGTTCCAATACAGCACAATACCTCAAAATAACTTTAGCTGAAGACAGCATTTTCACCCAAAAATAAACAAACAGTTTGTGCAATATATTTATTTTTATTTATGTACAAAAAAGTTCTGTTATTTGCATTTGTACATAGTATTTTTTCTTAATTTCTAATAAATCTGTGTGCATGAAAGAAGTCATTCCTGTCTTTTGATGCTTCACGTAGCTGGGGCCTTTATGGAGAGAGAACAGCAGCATTAGATCATACATAGATTACATGAGAATGCAGTTCTGAAGTTGACCTGTAAAAAAAAAACAAAAGCTACAACTTTATAATTATTAGGAATCACACTTTTGATTGCCTTTTCACCCACAATTGTCATTTCTATATGTAAATTGTCAGCTTTGATATTGACACTTTAGCTTTTTTGCTTATGAAAATGTTATTAATATACCTAAAGGTCAGATTGGTGGCATCCTTCAACAAGCGTCTGTTGAACATGATTCGTTGAAGAGCCTCGTGTGGTGGAGATCATGGCACCATGAGCTCTTTATCACTGGTCGTTGCATCAAGTGGTCCATGGTCACATTTGCCACGGGTCCATTCATGCTTCCCTGTGACATGGTGAAGCACACCCACCCACATGTCCCAACAGAAAAAATAAGTTTTATTTGAAAATTTTACATGTGACAGAAGCGCTCACCAACAGAAACGAGAGCTGGCACTATTATGAAAAGAAAGGTAATTATGTCAATGTGCATTGTTGTCTTGTTGTCCAAAAGATGTCACAATACTTACATTAAACATATCACGATGTTGTGCTTTCTGGCAAATGTACCAAAATTGGTTGAAGATGTCCTTCAGCCACACAAGTAGGATGGAAATTCCCTTTAGGATCCCAGCCTGTGAACAAGGATAAAACAACAATTCCATCTTTTAGTTCTTTTTAAAACATAGAAGGGTTTTATTTACCTGCAACGTTTTGTTTGCGGCTGCAAACTTCGTCAGCCTGACAAAGTTTTCATAACAGTTCTATTCTGTTATGAAAACAGTAAATAAAAGTAGAATTAATATATTGTTTTAAGACTTTGGAGTTTAAAAAAAGAGTGTAGCTAAGAATAGGGCTGGGCAATATGGCCTCAAATCTATATTGTGATATAATCTGAAGCATGTGCAGTAACGATATATATTGCGATATATTTTTTCATCTGTTTATAGATGTCAAATTGACATGCTTTTAGATATCCTCATGTGGCAAATATATGCCACTTGAGGCATATAGGCCTCCTCCTCCGCCCACTCCATGCTTGCAGTCACCGCCATTCTGTTGTCCCATTGTCAGCAGGGTGCACATCTTAGTGACGTCATGTGTTATCACAATATCGCCGTATTGCGATATAGCCAAAAACTATCATTACCCAATTTTATATCATTTCTACCTTATATCGTTTATATTGCCCACCCCTAGATAAGAAGACATTGCAACTCACACACTGTTGAGTAAGTTGTTTGCTTGGTCCTCATCAATTTGGACTGCATCCGTAGCTAGATCCATGGATTTGAAACTACAGACAACACAATAATATTTGTTGTACGTAAAGATAAATACTGGAACTTACCTGAAATGGTACTGATTCTAAAGAGATAAATGTGGAGCCTAATACATCTGTCATTAATTATTTCTGCAAATAACAACAATCTGCTGTGAATTGACACTTCACAACATAAATAAATATACATAATGACCTATATTTGCTTATCTATTGTGTTTTTATCTTTTTTGCACAGCAGTAATTTCCTGCGTATATGGCAAGACTTCTCATGAACAAATTTACCTTTCTTCAAAAGGATCCAAATTTTGGTCATCAGCTAAGGCCTCAACACCAGCCATTAGAAAATCTTCCCTGTAAAGATAATGTCAGAAGTGTTTGGTGGTGTGATGTTAGTTCTGAACCAAGTGTGGATATGCAAGGTGTAATTTAATGTATGAAATATCATAGCACAAAAACGTGAATATTTGTTTTACAGAAAAGATACTAACCCCTCAGACACAGGTTCAGTTGGAGATAATCGATGCGACATTTTAGCTGCTGTTCTGTCGAGGTTGCCTTCACATTACCTCCCTGAATTGCAGTTTCAGGAG